GGGAGAACTTGCACAATTGGTGGCTGACTAAATACTTTTTTGCCCCACTGTATATGTTCATATCACTTTGCAGCCCTAACCCCCGCCCCTAAAAGTTAAGAGGATCCCCTGCTCATCCATGTCATAAAAGAGCTGAGGGGAGAAGACACACATTTTCCTGTTAAGTTTATGTAAGTACAGCAAATGTAAACATCTAGCTAAGCCTGCCTGTTACTAAATGGAAAAGAGTATACATAAGCATAGGATAATTCATATCAGGCCATTTACTGCAGGATAGAGAACTTACTGCTTCCAGATGTTTTGGACGACAGATTCCATAGTTCTTCTCATCAGCTGGAGCTATGTAGCATAAAATATCTGGAAAGTCCTAGCTACATACCCCTGCTTTACACTCTTGTATACAGGAGAATTCAGAGTTTCCCAGTGCACTATTATAACCTAGACAGCATGGTAACAACACTTCTTAGAATAGCTAGAATGTCTTAAGCAAAAATGTGAACTTGGAGAAGGGTGCCTTTTCCCCCTTATTTTGGCTACCATTGCCAGATAATGAATTTTGAGTTTTCCTCACAGCAGCACTTACAACACTGGGGTGAAAGAGGAGTTGCCATCCAGATCTCTTCATTTTTCGTTTATTTGCACAATATACAGACGCTGCAACTGAGATGGTGAAAAAGGCTGAGAGAGAGAGAGAGTGTGTGTGTGTGTGTGTGTGTGTGTGTGTGTATTTTGCAAGAACACAGAAAAAGAGAGCCCTGCATGCCTTCAAACTGTTAGATGAGAAGGGGAATCAGTGCAGTTTAAAGAAGATAGTGTCCTTTCCCCATGAGGGCTCCATATAACAACCACCACCAAGATTTCACACCAATAAACACTATGTTAGACATGAAGTTATAAATCATGAAGCAGAAATTGGAAACTAATTGCATGGCTTGATAATAATATCTTTACACTTTGCTCTGGTGCACTAAAAAGTGAAGAAATATATGAAGAAACTCTAAATGCTAACATTTCTATTTGCACTATGCACTATGTACATAAAAAATTGAACAGCAGCAATAACTTAACCCTCCTATTCTGAAAACAGGACATTTTGATGGGTGTTTTTCATACATCCTGCTTCATTATGTGCACAATACATAACTCATGTATCTGCCATGTGCACAAGTATATCTGTCAAGCATGAGTTGTGACTGACTGCTAAATAAAATTCACAAAACCCAATATATGTGATCATAGTAATTTTTGAGTTCACAGATACAGAAATGACCTCACACAGATTTACCTTCAAAGTTCCTGTTTACATGCACAGGTCCAAGTGGAGATTTTACATATGCACCCCGTGGAACAATACCCACTTCTTGATCTATCTGATGTATGGTGGCTACCAGACGGACCTCCTCCTTGATCAAGGGCTTTAGAAAAAAGCAAAAATATATTCCTTACATTTCATAAGAATCAGATGTGGGAGAGAATAATATTCCTTCGAGTCTGATAGATATGAAAACTGCCTAGAGTCACTGGGAGTCGGGTGGCATGTAAATTGAATAAATTATTATTCCCATATTACTAATCAAAAAAATTAACTAGAACAATTATATTAATTCCTTTATAAAACTAGTATATTTCCTCTCTTGATGACTCTAGAGGTCAATATATTCAAATCTGTATTTAATGTGTTTTCATTGCAGAAAAATTGGGAGAGAGGAAGTAACTTTATTTATTAAATTTGTATGCTGCCCATCTCCCCCAGTGGGTGACTCTGGGCAGCTACTTAAGGCGCTACTTAAATATTTTGCTTCTGTTAAAAACTAAAGAAAAGGAAAATACAATTATGGAGAAAAGTAGTCCATGAGATTACAAACAGTACTTTTTGTGCTTCGATGAGAAGCAATACAAATATTCAATGCGACTAGAAACAGTATTTCATTACTAACAGTAATGAAGAGGTATTCTAATGTCACCTATAGCCCTCATTAAAAATTAATGAAAACTATTGGTATTCTGCAAAGTTCTTGGGCTATTATTTGCTGAAATACTGTCTGCCAGTATAGTTCCATCTGTGCAATAAATCTGATGTTCACTGCATCTATGAGCTATAGATTGCAGAAACAAATTCCCATAATCATCTCCCAAAGGCAATTAATTATAACTGCTATAAAAAAAGCATGCAAATCATTTTTTTATCACTCTCAGTGCCTAGCTCTACAAATCATCAGAGTCCTTTATATTATTTTTTTATCCTTATATCTGACAGGTACCAATTTAAATCCCATTCTGCAAATAGAAAACTGAGGTAGAAATGGGAATGATGAATGTCACCTAATAAAACAATGAGTGAAGCTGAGATTTTAAATCCAGATCCAAAACTAGTAAACTCTTCAGTGCTATAATGTTGTGCCCAGTCAACACAGGGGTGTCTCTGCAGAAACTTCAACTTGTTCATCATCCTTCATACAGATCATTGATTAGGGCCATTTACAAGGAGCATGTGATATCCTCATTATAAAAGCTTTACTGACTACTGATTCATTTTTAGACACAAACTGCTAATTATAATAAAGCCCTGTACAGCTTGGGATCAGCCTATTTGAAAGATCAATTTCTTATATGAACCTAACTAGGTTTTTTAAGCTTCAGAGATAGTAGTGACCAACAGAAGCACACTTGGTAGGTACAGGAGAAAGAATATCTCAGTAGCTGCTACGACATTTTGAAATCCCAATTCAACAAAGGCATGATTAACTCTGTTGCCTTTGGCTTAAGCTGATGTTGGTTTACCCTGATGGATGTGACTTATTTCTCAACATATTTTGAATCTATTTGATTTGATTTTAATTATGATTTTCTACTTTACTTTTAAACATTTAGTCTGTGTTGAATTATTGTCAGCACTATTTTAACAGAAAGGTAGACATAAATGAAGTAAATAAATAAATATGCATGGGGCCAAAGGAATTTCTGCTAGCTCACTATTGATTGATTTAAAACATTTATACCCTGCATTATTCACTAGAGAGTTCTAAGGCAAGTATAAAACCTCAGTCATTTTACATTTAAAAATTATTTTCCATTTATATCAAATACAAATATAGAAGAATGCAATGCTAACCAAAATATTAAAAATATTTTAAAAAGACAGATCAGCAAATTAAGATTGCAGAATAATGCTTTCCTAACTTTACTCATTTCTGAGTATTTCAGGGGAAGATGAAAGGAGTTTTATTTGAAAGGGAATTCTAGATCCAAGACACTGCCATTGAAAATACCTTTTTCCATTATCCCAATTAACTATAATGTAGATTTGGCCTGAATGATGTATGCCTTAATTATGTCATGTCTGGGTGACTGTAATGTGCTGGGTGTAGCAGAATCTTGGAAAAGTACTGAGAAATTAATATTCAGACTAACTGTTAAAGTTAGTGTAGAGTGTACCTCAGCCATATTTTGTATTTTCTTTAGTGCTTTTCCATCCATATTATGTAAACTGTAAGCTCAGCGAATAAGGATCTTAGGATTTTTACTTAGTCATCCAACACCTAAGTTCATCACTAAGCTTTAAGCCTTAGAAAAAAATCTGTGGGCTAAATGCAACCAAAAAATCAGCCTGAACGTGTTTGTATTGAAAGTATCAAGTTTCCATTCACACTCACTTATTTCAACATGTTTTCTCATATCTGATTAATATCTTAGTGATTATTAAGGGGAAGCGGTGGGAAAGAAAATCTAGCTGAAGGGAAGAATGTCCAATTCTACACTGCCAAATGATGTGAAGGCTGGAGCTAAAACCCTCTTGTAATCCCCCGTCTCTTAAAACAACCAGTCTTCAGGACTCCTTTCTCTATACAAAGAAAATCAGTGAGGAATTATTCCTTTACTACTTCTGCAAAAAGAAAAGAGTCTAATTTTCCCTGCTCAGCACTCAAGAAGTCTCTGAGCACACTGGAGAAAATATTCTTCTCTCCAATCAGCTGCTGATCAGAGATGAAAAACTCATACCTGGAGAGAAAGATGGAACTACATTAGTGAATTGAGCAGAAAACCTACATGGACCAGAGATTCCCCACTCCTAGAACAAAATAATTGCATATTTTAATCTCCATTCCTTCTATTTGTAAGAATAGCTATTCACTGAGCCAGGAACTTAGTTCTCAGTCTTGTGGACAACACCCACTGCCTAGTTTTAGTCATTCTGGAGTAAACATCAACATAAAACTATTAGCATTGGAAAAGAACATAATACAAATGTACTTCCCATTATTGTAGTAATTGTCTTTTTGTGCAAATTCATCCTAAATAATTAGCCAAAATAGCAGACTATTTGTGGTTTCATCAATGTGAAGCTCACAATACATATGAACCATCTGAATAACAATAGTAATAATAAACAAACTACTATTATAATAAATCTTTATCAATAGTTATAGAAATCATACAAATAGAGGAATTTTCTCATTTTTGGCAAGGGGGGCCATAATCTGCCTACTATCTTTTTCTTCCTCCAGAAAAAACACATCATTTAGAATACAGTCATTTTTTCTGTTACACTAATCTCCATGATTGCTACTGGCAGATGTGTGGGTAAGTCTAGACTACCCAAATTCTGAGTGTACCTACCTATTCCTGCTCTTTATTTCTTCCAACTGTAACTGGGTAAAGCATGATCAGCTGAGAAAAATGAAGAGGAAAGAGCAGACAGAACTATCTTCTCAAACAACCAGATTTTCATCTGATCAGTTCCTTTAAAGCCAGCCAGCACCCAAAGATTCAGTTATGGAAGATGTATCTTGAACTTCCCACAACCAATTAATGCCTTTGTAGTTCTTAAATTTTGCTTTGCAAGTGTGTTGGCTTTTGAGACTGGAGGGAAGGAAGCAACTAGCTGGCAGGATAGAACCTCTAATTTGAAGGTAGATTTCTTTCTTTGGGATTTGAAGGAAAGGGGATCAAGAGAATTCCATTCTATTTTTAAATTTTAAAAATATTTTTAAAAACTGGAAATGGGGAAGAAGGACAGGCAAAAGATTATGAGGGCTATATGTAGTTTCTCTGGAGTTTTTCCTATGCCCTCTTATTTTTTTACTTTTTCTCCTCCCATTTTTTAAAAAGCTCCAGGGTAACCCCAGGCTTTAATGTGGCCCTTGGACCTCACTGTACTCCTGCCTTGGGTCACTGTGAGAGAAAAGAATGGGTGGAAAATTAAAACTGTTGGCTAAGCCTATGGCACTAGTTCAATTTACAGGATGTTGCTTCCTGTTTCAGTGTCACTGAAGCCAAGTTCAAAAATAATAATATTTCACCTATAGCAAACTGAATATAAAACATAGACTGCATTCATAAGTTCATTTTTGAGGCAAAAAATGTCTGGCAAATATCTGAAGGATTAGTGGGAATCCTATGTCCTCTGACCAGTTCAGACAAAGGATGAGATTGAAATGTACCAAAAGTAAATAAGCATGATTAAAAGAAAATGATAGCAAATATCTTTAAAAAAAACATAAAAACAAATGGTAAAAAATATTCATAAGCAAGTATGTACAAAGATCAAAACGTCACTCATTTACTTACTCCAACTTCTTCTTCATATGGCCTTTCAGCTTCTTCTTTCTTATCAACGGGTTCATATTCATAAGACGGATCCCCTTGGAAACGTCCCTTTAAGCCTGTAGTCACTGCAGTTATTTCCTCTGAGGGGGGTGGCAGAAGACTCCAATCCACACCATTCAAGCTATCCATCCCACAAACAGCAAATAGGCTTATTGTTACTGAGCAAGAAAAAAATCAGAAACTATTCTTTACAGACATTTATGGGGTCTATCAAAAATCCCATAAAAATTGTCAAAGGAACAGCTGACAAGCAGAGTTGCGGTGGGGAGTAAGACAGGATAGAACAGCAGGAAAGACTTGGAATAGCATGAATGGCTAACAGATTGAATTCCAAATCAAGCAATCCCAACTGCAATTGCAATGGTGCCATGAACTCACTAGGTAGCCATTCTCTTTCTCAGCCCCAACCCCCTCTTCATCTGCCATATGGAGTATTTTATGGTGATACTGTATTAGACCTTATGATAGTTGTAGGGATTACAACTACTTAGTATGTTATGTGCTCTGAATACTTGAAACTTCTGTATAAATATTTATTTTATTTATTAACATGATTTATGCATTTCCCAATCATCAATAATCACATCAAATAATGAAGGGCAAAACCGTAACACTGAAAAAAACATTAAAAAATTAAATTGAAACATCAGTTTTATGTTAAACACTCTTTAAGTATTTCTAATGATTCAATGAAGCTTTTATTTATATAACACACTACCAAAATCAATCTCTTATTTTACTAAAATCAAAATTGCTATTTATTTTTGTTCTCTTCTTATATATGTTCACTGGAATACAGTACTGAATGTCTAAAAATGGGAAAATCACAGAAAATCAGCCATTTCCCGTTAATTCATTTAATTCAATACCTTTTCTTCTATTCCATGACTGAACATGCAGACTTTAAGATTTCAACATTATGTAAGCCTCTCTCTCCCCATTTCCTGCCCTTTTTTTACAGTATCTTTTAGAGCTGAGTAAATTCTTAGAAAGAAAAATGTAAAATGAAATGGTTATGCAAGTATGCGCACATGGAGACTACCAAAGGAGCTTACAAAGCAGCCATTTAACCCTGGAAAAAGCTGTGGCCAAAGAGTAGTTCTTTGTATGCATTCCCACCCATTGCAAAGCACCACTCTGGAAGGATTTGCACAGCCCTTCTATCTTGCCTGCTTACAAGAGGTGGTGATAGCAAATTATGATTGTCACAACTTTGTGCATATTTGGCTGGTCTTAATAAATAAACCAATCATGACTGATTATGGATTTTGTACTTTTATAGGAAATTGGCAGAATCCAATTCCTGGGCTGAGAAATTGCTATTTTCACATCTCATTGCAGAGTGAATTATTTTGCTCTACCGAGGCCATATTAACAGATTTTTAAATATTTTGATTATTTTTAAAGTGGTCCTGATTCTTCAAGTCTCAATAATAAAAACTGCAGATGAAAATCCTATCTCAGAAAGGAAATCGGGTTCTGCACATAGGCATCATTTTAAAAAAAGCTAAATTCTTAAAGCTAAATAGTTCTTTTTGATCTTGTTATTTGTTTTTCTGTTTGTCCACTAGTTCCGGCCCTCTAGGACACCAAGAGCTCCAGAAGCACAGTGATTGCTACTTTTCCTTTCAGCTAGTAGACAACATTCTGCCCAACTGACAAGGCTCCTCTGCGTGTTAGGGTAATAAGAGCGTAAGAAATTCAACAGCTTCAGCTTCTCCTATCAGGAAATCAGCCTATCAGAAAAACAGTACACTATTCAAGCGCGGGAGCTAAGGGCCAGACCACCCTCCCCACCAGATCCCCTGCTCTATCACCCTCCAGGTAGACAGGCATACTGGGCCTCCCAGCCGCGGCCTCCCACCTGTACAGGCGGCTTCTGGCCCCAGCCCTGTCTGGTCCCAGGCCCTCGGCGATATAGTACGCTCCTCGGATGCCTTGGATGCGGCCCCATAGGCGGACCTGCTCGAAGCGGTAGTCCCTGCGCACGAGCAGCAGGGAGTTCCTCAAGGCGGCCCGCTTCTCTGGGCTCAAGCACACCCCGCTGCCGGCCACGAGGTCCAGCGCGTAAGGCAACGTCTCAGCATCCATCGCCGCTGGGCTGGAGGTTCTGGGCCAATAGGCCCGGCCACGAGCGTCTCGTTGCCCAGCAACGGTCTCCCGGGCGCCGCGTTTCTCCCGATTATCGCGATATCTGAGTCCTGCGAATTCTCGTTTGTGTTCCGGGATGCCTTCGGCCCTTTTCTGTCCTTCATGCATCTTTGAATTCCACACCGAGAGGCGGCTTGGTATATAATCCGTTGTAGGGGTTGATGCAGTTTTTTTCTTCTTCCCATTCCAGAAAGGAAAGAGGGTGGCTTGCGGCTCTCAGTTCATTTTACCTTACACAGCTTTTAAGTGAGAAAAATAATCAGGCTCTCTGGCTTGAATTCTTTGGGAAAGGATAAAAATGTAACCTTTCTAACGCAGTAGATAAAGTGTCACTCAATCTTTGAAATCTACTTCTTCCCAAATAACCCATATGAAGAAACCCTGGACATAGGCATATTTACGGGAAAATGTGCACACACTGAATTAATCAGGTTTTATTGGCCATTAATAGTGGAGAAGTGCTACACAAAAGAAACTCCTTGCTAATTCCTCCTAAAAAATAGAAATGCAACCTAAATAAGAATCTTCTTTTTATGACTAGAAATAGGTTTTTAAGAATGAACATGAATCTCCTTAGTGCATTACCTTTAAACTATTAGCCATATTTTGGCATCAGTGACAATATCAAGTTCAGGTGTACATCACATGTTACAAATGCTTCAGTTTTCCTCAGGGACAATTAGGGGTGTTTACTTTTAATGTAAATGTCATGGTTGAGCCATATTATGAGGATCTCTCCTGCAATTTACCAATATTCTCACTGCTGACAAATTCCACTTTTGCCACAATTAACATTTTCCCCAAAGCAGCATTACTTTAAAGTTCACTGCTGTCCATTCCTGATTTCTCAAATCTGGTAATATACCCTCTATACCACCTTCATTTAAACTGTACGTCTTTGTCTTCTCCAACCAAATGGCACCAGAAAATGGCTCCCTATATAATACCTTCACAGTTGCGCTCCCACCAGGCCACTATACAGGTGGGCAGAATAACATTCATGATTGTATGGACTTGTTCCTTTCATATATTCCCCGTGAACAATATCTGATCCTTTATTTACATATATTGCAATCACTTTTCAGCTCTGGAAAGCAGGCATGATTTTCCCAAATTCCCCTGTACAATATTTGGCAGTCCATTAAGTAGTACAGAGCCTGAAAATGAAATATGGTCTGGAGAAAGAGAGGAAACATAGGTATATCTCCAAACTTAGGAGAAGAACTTGGACAAATTTGTCCTCAGGTAACTTGCTTCAGTTTGGACACAAAGTTGCACTAAACTTCTTAATTCTAGAGTCCTTGGTGCTCTCTGAACTTGGTTGTTTGATTGCAGAAGTTTAATTACCTGACTAGGTAACATCATCAGTGCTAGTGGGTGTGGGGTTTCCTCTAAAACCCTCCAAAACATCTTAAGTAAACCAAAAGACCCAGTAGCCCAAGAACAAAAAACAGAAGTCATCTACAACATACAGTGTAAGGACTGTAACAGCCACTATGTAGGATAGACGGGCAGAAGATTAGCAGAGGGCATCCATGAACACCAACTAGCAGTCAGAAGACAAGATGAAAACTCCTTAATCTCACAACACATGGACAAACTCAACCATAGTTTCATCTGGGAAATGGTGAGCATCCTAGACCAAGCTAAATCCAAAAACTCTAGAGAATTCCTGGAAGATTGGCACTCAGGCGCATCAGCTATCAATAGACACATAGAGATATACCACATTTATACACTA